ATCCCCGAATTGAAGGGGATTTGATTTTGGTTTATCAGATAGTGCAGAACTCTGATCAGACACGTTGGTCACTGTTCCCCTTGTCACTCAACACTAACTTCTGTGGACAATAATTCAAATTGCTGCTTTAAAAAGGTCGTCTATAATTCCGGCGTCATTTATTCGCCCTCAGATTGTGTAGTATTTGGAATCCTATATCACTTTTCTTTGCTTCTGCGCCCACAGCTAGATGAAGCTTTGCAAGCGTTAAATTTCAACATCCGTTTCAATGCACGAAACAAGAATCATTTGTGACATTCCTCATCCTTCGGTGAACCGTAAATCGATCCGTTTGTGGTAAATCCTATGGGATAGGAAAAGGAACCGCTTGTAAGTAGTTCCCCTAATAAAACTTCGACCTTTACTTCAGCCGACATACAATGTTCCATGTACTTTAAAAGGAACAGAAATGTACAAAGAAACCAAATTTTAGTTGTCCTTCATTCGAAAAGTAGTGTTGCACTATCTTGTTGTCTGAAACAATCTTTTAGCCCCATCATTCCGTCAAAAAACCTTAAAATTTGTGACGCTGTCTTATGTTATACAAAACGACCGAAATATTATCCATTTACAAAAGATGTACTAAGGAAGTTGAAATAATTTACCTGTTGGTTACTTTGCATTTAGTGGCCCTAAGTCTAGTCAAAATAAAATCAAGAAAAGATAATATACCAGAAAGGAAACACTGGTCCGATTAGTACTGTTTCTGCCTCACAAAGATGGTGAATGTTCTGGAAAAGACGGTCTTTACAAGGGATAGAAATGAAAAGGTCGGTCCATGCTATGTTGACTTCGAGAAATCCCTGGACTCTATCAACTACCATCTGCTGTTACGAAAACTTGTAGTTATGTCAGTGGCCTCAATAGTAGCGGCCTAGATCAAAACCTATTTGAACGAGTGAACGTTTTGCTTATAGCTAAAAGGGAACAGCTCAAGTTCAGTGAGGAACTCGACTTGCAGCTCCCTGGGGTCTGTATATTGACCAATACTATTTCTTCTGTGTTTAAGACCTGGTTGCTGATACCTTAGTAATCCATTACATTCCTTGATACTTCAGTTTCAGAAAGTCCTCTCTGACCAGCATTGGCAGCCAGACTAAGGTGTGGCAATGTCTATTAAATTGCATTAAATGCAAGTAGGTGATATTGGTTTCAGAGGTAAGTCAGAATAGGTAGCTAAAGTTCTTGGTTTCCCTTGAATTATTATATACAATTATGGATATCAGGATTGATCATTCAAGTCTCGTCGCAACCTTCTAAAAGGTGTCTTTCGCTTGCGGCTAAAACTTTCAGAACACTTTATCAACTACATCCAACTGCGAAGTTTACGGACGCGGAAGTACCAATATCATTGTGGACGAAGTGTGCCGGAATATCCTAAAAGTAATATGTCCATGTGTGCGAACCCTCACACGTTTGAGAGAAAAAGGTACTAGGGAACTCCAGCGAAGGTTGGCAAGTCGGGTGGAAGAGGTAAGACTGTTATCGTTTAGTGAATGCTCGGGATTAAAAAGGAGACTAAAGACGGGTGTTTTTCAAATGAACTCAAAAAGAATCTTATAAACTGTTGCGTCGTTTGTACAGGATTGACTGGAATACTTACATCCATCAACGTTGCCTCCGATATATTTGTTTCAAATTTGACTCACAGTTACTTGTGAGAAGTGGTGTGGGATAATTGATTTTTTATTGATTTGAGCTGATAATCCTTCGGACTTCACCCTCACGCACAATCCTCAGTTCATCGATTCAATCAGACACTCGGAAGCACTAGACTCGAGTTTCGCTCTTATTGGAGCTCATCAGTAGTGCATATCCACTCTCCCGTCCGGGATTTGAACTCCGAACCCATCGCATGGAAGGCTTGTGCGTTACCACTGTGCCATGAACTGGTTGGCCTGCATTTAGCACCATCAAAGACGGGTTTCTAACAGTGCAATACTTGCGACCATCTACTTTGGAACACTGGATTCTAATGCTGATGAATTCCAGTCTGAAAGATAAAACAAACTTTGATCGTGTAATCATTGTGATCAATCTGAGTAGCCTTACAAAGTAACTGCATCGAGGAGTGCCTTGGCCACAATTTTCGGACGGATGAATCAGGTTGTAGGCAACGGGTTAGGTTATCTCCTGGACGGCATCTGAATGATTAAACTCAGTCATTTATTTGCTTGAACGGAACACCAGGTAAACATGAATTTCCCTTCATAGCGTTCAATCAATTTTGGGAAGTTAGTTAAGAATATTTATCCACATTATGTAAACGTGGTAATGCTTAAGTCAAGTGAAACAGCAACGGACGGATAAGGAAGAAAGATATTTATTGGGGACAGCGTGTAGTAAATGAGAACGGTGTGACGGGATTTTGTGCCGGAACGTTTTGAAAGCTTAACAATGTTGCGCTGCATGTTGTACAAGGCATTCCCGAAGAATACTGCTCTATACCGAAGAAAAATTGCGGGATCGTAAGGAGAGGTTGATATCCAGTTCAACTATACCAGGAAAAGTAACAAGGGATTCATAAAACCAGGTCACATTCAAGCATTTAAGATGATTGAGGACAGTAGTAACTTGGGGCGCAAAACATGAAACATAAACATTCTGGACTTCTAGAGCACGTTTAGTAAATGTTCAAACCAGTGGAGGTTATGATGAAAGGTCACATACACCGGGATACCCGATACCTGTTCGTCGGACCACTTAATTATCCAAAAATGGATGGTATTTGGTAACTCACCATTTTAAAGACTTTTCAAAAAGGGTATAATCTTGATAGTTTAGGTTTCGGGGTAGAGCAATTTCAGTTATGGCAGCTTGCAAAGTACATTAAGATGATGGGTGGGATAACTCAAAGATTATATCTTCTGCTTACTGGTTAAAAAGAAAGAGTTTGAAAGCAGTTATAGAAGATAAATAGGTAAAAATTGAAATGAAGGGAAAAAACGCCTCACGGTGATCCTTGTGTTGCCGATGAATGACAGTTAGAGAGAGATTCGGAAACTGTTAAATACTGAAAAAAATAGTTTGTCTATTAATCCTATGGGCACTAGCGAGGTTCAATAAGCTTGCATAGAACTTCTTGTTTTTCCTATTAAGTGAGAATGAACTAAAGTTGGGGAGGAGCGTCAGCGAATCCAGGGTACCACGAGAATGAGTAAACGCAATCCGGTTTGGATCCTTCATTCTATTGGGCACTTTTAAGCCAATTAAATTGTAGGCAATCTAAGAAAATTTAAAAGATCTCTTCGACAATTAATTAATAAAAGTGACCATCCAACAGTTAGGGATCGATAAATGTGGCAGACCTGAAATGAAACCTTAAGGTAATGCAAAATATACTAGCACATCCTCTCACAACAACAGGCAAATCCTCATCAGAGTCTCCTGTCTTGTTTGGATTCAGCTAGGTTGGCTTTTGATAGATTTCCACAAGAGTAACGAGAATGCATACCGTAGTGTGATCATATGGCATGGCTGGAAATGGAGACTCATATTTGACGACGCTCTCAACATGTCATTCTGTTCCTAGAGCCTTCCAGCTGAGGCGAGATTTGATACTAGATCTCACAACTGCCCTATACTCATCAGATGAAGTACAAGAGTGGATGTCATTAAGCCTTAGAGGCCTTCAGCAATGAATTTTGATAGGGTATGCACTGTAATACGATTCTGGATTCTGGAGGCGTGATATGTTTGCGAGTGTGGAAAGTATAATATCCAGATTGAACATAAACAGGATCTGAGGGGAAACACAAAATAAAAAAATTTAAATAGATTGTTTAGTGATCAAGAAATGGTAGAGAGGGATGTTAATACATGCATCACCGCTTCGTGAGGTTTTCTGGTGAGAGCTGGGTTTTTCGAATCTTCTGGTTACGAAACCTGGCAAAAGGTGATGTCTGGTTTCATGGAAAATAATGTATAGAATTTCAACACTATAAAATCAGACATACCTGATAGAAGCCCGATTCTGCACAAAGTAACCGAGGAAGATTGATCAAGCCCATATTCAGATATGAATCGCATCTTTTGGTAAAGGTACCAATGTTTTAAACATTCAAAATAGTTTAAAAGCAGTTATCGAAATTCTGAAATATCGCCACAAATAATACAAAGAAAAGCGTTCACATGATAATCAATGCAGTTGTTAGGGTGTCCAAAATGTCAGACCCAACCTACGGAAGACAGTTGGAAGCAATACATGTAGTTTTCTAAATATATACAACTGGGAGAAACGTGAATGTTTAGGCTTAAGTTGTAGAGTATATGTAATAATGTGGAGTGGAGAATAAACACAATCACTTCCGGGCAATTTGCATCGTTCGTTACGTGTGTGGTAACAACATCCCACAGCCTAACGAAACTTGAATAGAAACTTGGAAATTTCTGTTCAGATATCGCGAGGGGTAATCAATCGGATGATAGTGTGTCAATAGACACATCTGTGTAGGATGTTTAGTCTATTCAGAAGGAGACCCACAGATTCCTGGTACAAATTCTCCACCTATTCATTAACTATCATTTGTTATGTCAGTTTTGACATTCAAAACCAAGTGTTTTCAATTAGACAGTGATAGTTAGAGCGTTGTATGCATTATGGTTCTAAATTACTGCTGCATAAATTGGCTTTGAAGAGACCTCGGGTGAATTCATCATACATGGAACCACCAAGAATATACCAAATTATGGTGAAATTCAATCCTTTTTCTTTGGACTACTCATAAGTAGGTGGAAGAAACAACTGAAAAATGACTCTACCAATAACAATCTGGAAAGCCATTTTTCCGGATGACGGTTTAGCTGAGAAATCGACCGCTAGTTCTTTGCAGTTTCACTTGAAGAATCTAATTTGTGAACAGATGGCTGATATATAGCTCTGTACCACTTATTCTGCAAACACCGGAATTCCTTTTTAGCCTGTTCATCTGCTCCGCTATTGGTCACCGCTTAACCTCAAGATGCCAGCTGCCACAAACACTTGTCCCAATGGTTATCCAACAACTCTTTCACAAGATGATCCATTACCATCACATGTACATTATCGTATGTCGAAAAAGATTGCACAACTGACGAAGGTAGGTTTTCAAATTTCGATATGTGCTTGAAACGTGTCCAGGTAATCTACATACTGAACACAAAAAATGACGAGATTGAAAATGCGGTAACTCAAATGACGCAGTTACGTCAATGCGAGATTGAGCGTCTGAGATGTCAGTATGCAGCAAAAATGATGCGGTATGAGGAACTATTGGAAGAGGAGATTGAGAACCGCACAAAAATATCACAACTAGAAGCATCGCTGGAACAGGCTCGCTCTCGGTGTGAAAAAGGTGAAGCGGTAAGAAGATTCACAAAACAGATGTACACATTGCAAACGCTTACCATTTGGTTCTCAAATCACAGAAATTATTTAAAGAATGAAGAATTTGATAGTCTTTGAGATGATCGACAAAGAGCACTGGACAGCCGAATGGGTTAATCAAGACATTCACTGTCTAAGAAGGATTTCATACTCTAGATGTTAGAATGTTTTACAAGGGTGAACCTAATACTTTAATCGTCTATCGAAATTGCTCCGGAGTGTTTTTCTCAGAGTAGCTTTCAGGTAAGCACCACTGATTGGATTTGGTGTAGCTAATATGGGTTATAAATGGTTACTGCGAGCAGTCAACACTTTCTCCAATGTTCCAGGATCAGCCGATAAGTTTGAAAGGATCGCCCTCAGGATACTAGATTCCCAAAAAGAAGCTGCTCTTGAGCTGATCCAATGAGTAGAACCAACACAAATTTGAATGTCCGCTTCTATGTTGGTGTACCCTGAAATATTGGATAAGATACTGATGCATTGTTGTGGAGAGTTCAAAATCTAGATACGCAATCTTCGCCAGAAACGTGTCAATCATATAGCTCAAAACCATTTCAGCTATCAAAAACAGGGTTCACAACACCACTGCCGGTGAGACGTTATTCACTTGAAAGCCGTAAAATTTAAATTGCTCCGTAAATTTATATTAAAGATTCTCCATATTCCTGGCGGGTATTCAATGGAGCTTTTAGCACCTGTAAAGTGAAAAACGTTACTGGATCTGGATGGCTTTGACTGGAAAAATTAGTCCCTAGTTGGTGGTATCACAGCCTAGAGAGAGTTTTTATTTTACGCTTCTGTTGAAAAAATCTTTCGAGCAGTAGTATACATATGCATCACAAAATTATTTATCTAGATTTTGAAGCTATCAACAGAGAAATCAGAACAGACACAGAAAGAGTTAAAGGTGAATTACGAGGCGCAATTAACCAAACTCAAAGAAGCGCTTTTGAAAACCCAAGAAGATCACTTGCGTGGCACCCAGCTGGCCGAGGAAACTATTCGCAGTTGGAAAGAACACCAGTGTCCGGATATTGAACCAATAAGAGAGGAAAAATGTCGTTTGGAACGCGAACTGGAAGCGGTTTCCCGCGCCAAAGAAGAACTCGAAGAGACACTGGACAGTGAGTTTTGAACAGCTGGACAATCGAGTGTTTTCAGTTCATCAGTTTCAATAATTTGCAGACTGAATGAAATTCTCTCTATTATTCTTGTCTATTATTCTATTCATTTTTTACTGACACCCATCTTTTCCTTTCCTAAGTACTTTCATTGTATCTGCCAGAATAGATAAAGGCTTTCATATGCGTTGGTTGCTCAGTTCCTGATATCACATTTACTTGTCAGAGGTTTAGCAATTCATTATTTTCTCACCAGCACAACGAATGCATTGAAGCAGATTTCATGGACTGATCTCCATTTTCCAGTGTTTACAAAATAAATACGAATGTCAGTTGGTTAGAGAGTGAGCTTGCCGTGGAATAATGCTAGCGTGAAAATGAGTTTGAGATTGAAATCAGTATTCAGTTAATGAAAACCTTGTGGGAAATGCAATCGGATATCGTTGTTGGTTGGGAAATATCCCAAAATTAAATTAGTTTGCAGTCAACGTTTAGGGTATTGTTGCACATGACAAAAATATTGACGACTTCAACTTGCATTTTTAAACTGGTTAAATCAGAGCGATTTTTCAATTTGCGTTAGCTATAAGAGCAACCAATGTTTATTTTTATGTTTAGTTTATTTTAAGAATAGAAAACAGCAGAAATCAGAGATATTTAGAGCATATTGCCATAGAACTCTTATGCGTTTATCAGACAATAAAACAATCGTTGCTTTTACTCTTATAATCCGTCAATTGTAGGTGTATTTGCTTACTTATATCGAGTGATTGATGCAGCTGGTTCCCAAAATGCTTTTACAATGAAGTCGAATATGCGGTCATTTATTGGAGGTATCACAGGTGGTCAAATCCAACATAAATCTAGCTTTTGTTTTACCAATATCCAATATCTAATCTTAAATAGTTAACTAAAAATGTAATTGACAATTTTACTCATTAAAATGTATGAGAACTAGTTTCGAAAATTCTTGGGTTATCAAATTGGGAATGCCGCAGAATAAAAAAACAACTGATCGATAGGTTATTACAATCACACTTCATGAGATAGGATACAACTTTTGTTCGACACACAAATGTACACACAAATGTAATGGGATCTTCTCGAAAAGTTTCTAACCTTTCAGAAATAATTCTCCGTTTATTCAATTTATTAGCTTGTTTACACGAATTCCGTTTCCTTCCGGGTAAAATGTTTCACTTTTCAATTAGGGTCCTAAATAAGCTTTTGAAAAAGTCAGCAACTCCTATATATTGTAAGCCATTTAAAAAGAATTGAAAGTTTACGACATACCGTTTCAGTCAGAAAATGAGATAAACTTTCCTATAACTCGAAATAGTTTTATATTATAGAAGGAAACTATCAGACATTCAAAAAGATGAAGAGCAATCACCTTTCTGTTTCTATTTTTCTCCAACGTTCACACGAACCGAATGGTTATTAACGAATGTGTTTGTTTGTCACAGCCGTTCGACGGGAAATCGCCGGTGATTTCCAGCACCAAATCACTCGGTTGTCATCTGAGTTGAGTGCGAAACAGGATATCGTTGGACGACAGGAACGCACAATCGAGGTACTGACCACCAAGCTAATCAAAGTGAAGGAAGATTTGGTCAGAACATGTGAGCTAGAAGAGGCCCGAAAGAAAATATTGATTGGTGAAATCCAGAGAAGCACGGAGGAAGAGTGCTCTGCAAAATGGAACGGACTTATGGAACAAGAAATCAGCCGTTATAAGGAGGAGCTGGACGAAACACGTCATATTCTGAAAAACAGCCAGCAACAGTTTGAAGAGAATCGCTTGCGTTTGGAAAAGGAACTGGAACAGGTATCGTGTTTCATTCCTATTTTAACAACAATCAAAATAACCGCATTGAAATAAAGTTCTGGATGAGTTTAAGCAATATCAATTGCTTTTGTTAATATCCTGGTAAAATCCGACATGAACTGCTCTTAGATGTCAAGTAGTGTATTTTGTGCATCTAGTAATTTCGAGGTAAAATGTCAAAAGTTAATCAGTTGTGTTCTGGTGCACGTTTGCGTACAATTGAAGCTGTTTTTATATTAGCCCATTTTACAAACTAAGTAAACATAGCCATGATTTCGTAGGTTGCTGTGGCTGAAGCAGATGTCAAGTGTGTCACCGAATAGATTTTCTTGATACGCGATGCTTTCCGGAAGACGCCATTTGTCTGAGGAAAGTGGCCAGAACTTACTAAACTTCATTTAAAAACTGAATGAAGAGCTTGGTCATTTAATTTCATTCTCGTTTTCAGATTGGAACTATGATAGTCAAACAAATTAAAGAGAAGATGTACTGAGAGGTATGATTGAGTGGTACTGATAGTTGCGCTCTTGCATCCAATCACTATCTGGGCACATTTGATCTGTCAAGTACTTTGGTTTTATCTGGTATTGCTCTTAATTCTTTTCAGTTACTCCCCTCTTTATTGATTGATCAAATGGGTGACCAAGAGATAGCAATGACTAATGGAAGTTCACGGTTCATTGTTACTCAAACTGAACTGAGATAAATGTGTATTATAATAATCCACTATTAACTGAAAGTCAACTATTTTGGTTATCAATGCGAGAATATTCTTCCGCAAATTAAGAATCGCAGAAACTATCGTTATTTGGCCAAATAGAAATTATTTTTTGTGATGGGTCATCATTTTTACTATCATTATTGTGCTCATCATAGTCTCCGTTACTGTATCGATTTTGAGGAAATTTTTGATAATGCATGTCAGTAGCTTAGTTCTAGAGATATATAGTGAAATCCTCTCCATTTTATGTAAGAAGCACATCCTATTCTTTTTTGTACCTGTACATGCTTGTATGGCCTCTGATGAACGAGTTTTGCATATTACAAAAACGGATAGAAACGTGACGAACTGTGTTTGTTCTGTCTTCAATACACTAAGGAAGATATACTATTTTATTCTCCGAAATTTTAAACTTTGCGCGGGATTAACAAACGCCCAAAGATCGTACCTAATGCGTAGAGAAAATTAAAGACATCACGATGACACAGGTTTTCCGAAAATTAGTTCATCAAACAAACGATTCAGATCCATCGAAAAGACAGAATTGAGAGAAAATATTTGTTCATCGTTTACCACCGAATGAACTGTCAAGTGTGCGTCCATGTTCACTTAAAATATTGATTTTTTTCGCCAAATGTCCACAAAAATCTAATTAATGCTTTGGCTTTCTGACATTGAAATTTTGCCGCATACCTGGTGTTATCAATATCTATTATTTGGGGTATAAGTTTGCGAATTGGTTAGTGTAGAAGTTTCATGAAACGGAATAGCCCGTCTATGGTTACCGCGTCCCAAATTCCTTTTCCATTGCTTCTGGAACACGTGACGGCCAAAGTGTGATGAAATGTTTCTGCTCGGAGGCTTTTCATTTGAATCCAAGGAAGGGATTATGCAAATTAGTCTGAGAAAACTGAGAGTTATGTGAAAAAGATTATGCTGAAGTTGACTCTTACTTCGGGATTACACAGATTCTGGTCACTGGGGAAATAAAAGCATGGGAAACTATCCAGATTGTAACACCCAACAAAGTTATTGCTTTCCAAGTTGAATTCAATCGGACAGAACCATGGAGGGAATGATGATGATGAAGTATGCACAAACAGAAAGATATTGTTTCAAACAACATGGGATTAATATTCCTATTAAGTTAACAATAAATGAGAAAGAAAACAATATGGAAAACGACAATGACCCTAGAAAAAAGGTTGAAGTTCACAAATCGTACTCTCAAAACGGCCAGATGACCAGAAACCAGATTAAAAGGTCATCAATACATAATGAAAAGAAATCAAGAACGTGCGTTTTCCCAAACAGCCTATAGTGAGGAATCCAAACAAATCGGTTTTAATATCACAATACATGAAGTGAGAATCCTTACGTTTGTTGTGCGTGGCAAAATCGATGAACCTGTCATAGTGCTATCAGAGCTGGCGATCATTCAGCGATGCGTAGCGTTTTAAATTGCAATTAACATTTCGCCGTGATAATAGTTGAGATTACGACCTTAAAAATTATGCGTATTCTTTCAGCAACTAGAACCATATGAGAATATTGTGAAAATAGTTCCAAAGAGCACATTTCAAATAAAAATCAGAGTGGCGAACAAGCTCGTTTTCAGATATTCGTATTCATGCCTATATATATATATATATATATATATATATATATATATACATCACTACTGGGGAATGAAATTGTCTTGCGAAGATAAAATAAAATCACAGATTACTGGAAATGATGTCATCATGAGACCGCAAATCGAATTCATCACGATCAAGCACTTGTTTGTCAATTTATCCGATCATCGAGATTACTCATGATACGGTGTGTGTGTCGGTGTGAGGGGTAGGTGGGTTGTCAAAGGAAGCTTTAGCGCTGGCACAAGTTGTTTTTGGGCACACAGAGTGGGGTTGTGCAGACGAATGCCCACCGGTTCTGATGTGAACAGCATCCGACTACGAACCTACCTCGATAATCACCCACGGACTGTATGTAAACAGGATGCGGAAAACCTCGGTCACGTCCACTGTGTGATTTCTTTCAGATAATTGTGAAACAAATGCACTGTGGAGTGACTTAATCGTTCCGGTGTTCAGTCATGTAGGCTAGTGTTGACGAATCCGTTCGGAAAATCGCCTGACCGTATGGCCTACGTACGTTGTTCTACATGATCAAGTTAAAGAGTATACACAGATTGAGAATGAGACAATTGAGGAAATTAAAAATTCATGCTAGTTCGAACAAAAGTGCTTTTTCGTAAAATAATGCCAGTTACAAGTATGCCAACCTAAAAAATACAGTGACTTGAGGTATATATATTCCTAGGATCAACTTGTGCATAATTATTTGCAGAAGTATTCATAATAGGGAGGTGCGTACAACATGCATGTAACTAAAACAAATAGACAGAGAGACACGTAGTGTCAAAACCACTTTCACGCATGAAGAAATTTATCCCAAATGAAGTAGTAGGGTAAATCAGATGGTTTACCGGTTAGTGGAACCCATTAAATTTTTTCAGAACATGGTGTTGTGAGGTACTGCTCACATTTGAGAGTGAATCGCAAAAGGGTGAAATTGGTGGTCTCTTTCAACGGTCAGAAATAAGCAAGGCCTGTTGAAACGAATTTCTGTGTTCCGTATGGCAACTGTAAGAATGCGCATCTACTGATGGACCGTTCCAATAGCTATCCTGTTTACTTGGGGGAATTCTGAAGACGCATTCCAAATGAGACATTTGGTTGCATGTATGTCATTTTAATGATACCCTGACCGTTATTCATAATAAACAAGCATCTGCGACTGGGTACCAGCTTGTGAAACTATAACAATAGTAAACTATCTTGAGAATACTATGTAATTGCTTGAAGTTCAAGATCGAGTTTTCTAACAACTCAAACTATTGCTCACACCAGTCGATTATACACAAGAAATTACACAGGTATGCTCCAAAATCGTTCCGGTTAATGATTTTTGAGGTTTTGCATGTACTTCCCATCGAGAGCTTCATGGTTACCAATATGACTTCCAGTTCTGTGTTATGCAAATATATATATATATATATATCTGATGGATTAGGTTGCACAAGTTGTCAGATTAAGGTTGTAGAAAATCATTGTTAGTCCGATCACAACAGATTGGAGGCTCCCACCATTTGGTGGTTTCGAATACTTTTGATTCGTACTCAAGTAGTTGCTTTCGTGGTTCAGATTAACCGAGAGAGAAATTGTGTCAGGATAGTGTACCATAATTTGTCCTCAGTTGTTTCAACAAATTAATTAACTTTGTGATACAACCTGATATGCTATCATGTCCGCAATGTTTCACATCCCAAAGAGGAAAGGGTACCAGTGTCTAAGAAGACTCAAACCACATATCATGGCAATATGAAACGAATAACGAATAACAAATACACTGATTCCACACGAAATAGGAACTCACCGTGTTCACATTTTTACCATTCACATAGATAAATTTTGGCACGCATCCACAACTAACTGAGCAAATGGAGCGTATCAAAAGATAAATTTTACTGATATTTGAAATTAACTTCCGTTGTATAAGATTTCACATTTATCATCATCAAAATGTGTTTCCATCTCCAGGAGAAAAATAAAAATAATGAATTACGATCCAAACACGAACTAGTCCAGTTCCGTTTGTTGGAAGATAACCAATCGTTAACCGAACAAGTCCTAGCCGTACAGGGAGAACTACTAGCTAGACAAGAAGAATGGGGCAAGACAGCGGCACAAGTGAGTGAGAAAAAAATTGGAGTTGATGTATACAATTTTGCCAATTTTACTGGTTCAACTCCCTACGATAGATGTTTTTGTCGCTATCGATATTGTCACATGATCGATTCATTTATGATAGTCGAGATTTTATTACCCCGTATATGTAACGGGTTTATAACAGCGTGACTGAGACGAATACATTGGCACATTGTCTGTGGGTTCTAAACAATTGAATCATTCACTAGCTTGCCTCAGATAACTGAGCAATGTGCTTCACTACTTGACAACTCCATTCCATATAAACAAATGTTTGATGAATCATATAAGTCTATAGTCACTTGTATGATAATTGAATCTATTGTTGTGAGTAGCATCAAGTTCCAATTTGTTCACATGTACTGTGAATGAAAGAGGACACAGAAGATGTGTATCATTATTATATTCAATGTTTCCTACAACTCCACCGCACCAGTTGTTTTGTCAAACCACTTCTACGCAAAAAATATAACAAGTCATGCATAACAGTTTAAAGATTAGCGCAACCCACTATGGGCAAAATGAAGTTTGATCAACTTCACTTGGGCAGGTGAGTAGACTACCTGTATTCTGTCCCAAGGTCATTCCTCAATTGGATTGATACGTACAATCTACCGATGAAACTCACCAACATCAATACATCTGTACAATCTTTTCTAGCTTTTCTACCCCTATTTCTTTTGCTTTGAATATAAAGAGAGTACCGTCGTCTTGGTGTGGCGATGCAAACAATGGATCCGCACTCAGATTATGCACCAAGCTAAACAAACTAACAATTCAGTCATCATCTTCAGTTGCTCTAGGCATGGGGAAAAAGACAACTTCCAAAAGTTGAATCATTTGGTCATCCGTTTCTGCAGCATTCATGGACTACTTTAGTGAATTCGTACTCTATTCTGATAGTTAAGTTAGTTTGTGCTCTATGTAGGCTCTCTAGCAGCAGTGACCACATACACAGGGATATATAAAGCATGCCATATAGGTTTTTCTTCGGTTTTCTTCTCTTCCTTCTAGTTGATTCATCCTAAAAGATTTTATCCCTCAAAATCGATAAAATTCCGATTGTTTATGAAATAAAAGGCAGGAAGAATCTTTTATTATTTTCGTGCATAACTAGAAACACTTCGCTGACAATCTTTTAAGGGGCGAGTGTAAGCTGTAGCAGTTCGGTCGGTGCAGAGACTTGACCATTACGGGGACAGGATGAAAATAGAGCGTCGCTGTTCGAACACTGCTGTCTACGTCGTATTGCACGAGTCTGGTAGGGAAACCGGATGAGCAATGCTGAGGTTAGGCGCAGAGTTCTAGGTAACTGCGGTCGTCCACTGGAGCAAGTAGGTAACCTCCATAATTACACTGGTTGGGACATGTGTTGCGCATGTCACCGAATAGGTTGTCATGGGGAGCGATGTTTGCCGAGGGAGCTAGCGGCTGGAAAAACGTCAAGGTAGGTCAAACTAATACTTGGCATGGGTATTTGAAAACCTTAAACAAGGCACTGGGCCACATAGGTCCCATTACGGCTCCCTGGATGGGTACCCCGAAATCATGATAACCGGTGGTTAGCGACACTGAGTGATACAGTTGAATGCCACAAACAGGGTGCTAGTGCATCTACTCTATATTCTCGCAACCCTATACGAATTCTTTATCTTCCCCTTGAATATGATCTCAACCTTTCAATCTTCATTCTGCTCTTTTATCCAAACGGGTGGCCAAAAGAGAGGAACTAAAACTGGCACACGAAAGTGCATGGTTAATGGTTTTAGAAGCTAAACCGAACTGAAATTTTAAATTCAATACTCCAACCAGAATCAAAACACGAAAATATCTATTCAAGTTGTTTTTGTGTTTTACAAAATTTATTGATCACTCCCAAATCGGAAGAAAACCAGAACGTAGTCTTTTATTTTTTGAGTTGTGCAGAATGCGTAAAACCGCTGGGTACAAAACATTTACGCAAGGAAAGAAGCTTCCCTTGGAATCGAGAACTCGGGGAAGAGTACACAGTGTTTTCACATCTGCTGAGCAATGTCGGCATTGCGTGCCCACCGGTCCCGTTTACAAGAGGACCGAGAATATCGGAGATAAAAACCAATACACTATCTATATAGACTGATATGCATTCTCTGACTATGCATGCGTGAATGTCTCTTTGGGCATTAACATTCTACTTGACCACCGGAAATGGGACTAGGATCAGTTAAAATAGTATGCTAATCGGTCTGCAGAAATGAGCGAGTGAAGGTAGGAAATTCCTAAAGTAAAAGGAAAAAACAGTTAAAGTAAAATTCGTGAGAATGGGGCGTCAGTAACATGACAAAATCTCACAAAACAATGGGGATAGGATAGTTGTGGCCAGTCATAAAATGATGCGCATATTTTATTGTTTAACAGTACAGCGCGGAGAAATGCAAGTTACAAACCGAGAATGGAGCCATCCGAATACAGATAAAAACGTTGGAGAAACAAATGGCAAATTTGAAAAGTGAGTTCAAATTGAACTGTGCATCTTTTGATTTGCCCTATGCTTTAACCTTGGTTAGATAAATTAAATTTATAGAGCAATGAAAATTCAATAACATTTTTTGCAACACTTAAGAAAGTTTTATAACGGGCACGCATGGACTGTGGCTGCCTGAGGATACAATCATTGCGATCGGAGTTGCACAGTTGCCGCGATAAAAAATCCCGATCAGGAAGTCACACAACCGTCTAACTTTGGGAGATAAAATAAGTAGGCGCCGGTTGGGTGACTCCAAAGTTATTGATTTTAACTGAATGGAGCATCACTAAGGTAAATAGATCATTGAATGGCGCATTCGTGTGTCATAGTGTGACATTTTGACTTGTTATTTGCGTGTCTCTTCAAAAAGTGTTCTTTTGATGGATCGTCTATATGAAACTATGAGAAGTTCACTGAAGTAATAAGAAATACCTCATGCATCCTGACATGAGGACATTTTTAGGATAGCGAACGAATTATGGCAGATTGACAAAACATTATGTTCAAATTGTTGTTTGGCAGATTTGAAGTTTGCATGACAATTTTGAAAAGTTTAGTAGCCTCGGCGGGACTCACTATGCAAACTTTAAATCTGCTAAACAATAATTTGAACAATGAAAATTGTCTTAGAAGCTAATTCGGTGGACTCCGGTGGATTCTTAGGAAAACCTGTCGGGGCAGCCAGCCTACATGCTAACCGGTGGATGCCGTATACCTCTGTAAGTTGGATAGGTAATTCGAATATGAAAAGATCAGTGTGGTCTCGTAGCTCAGCTGGTAGAGCGTGTACAAAGCGTAGGCGGCGTCCAGGCATGGGTTCGAATCCTACCGAGGCTACTGAACTTCTCACAATCGCCATGCAAAGCAGTATGTCGTGAACGGCTATCAAGTAACTAAAAATTCCTTACCAAGTAGATTGAAAGATTTGCAGTAACAGGAGTTTTCTTTCATCTATTTTACATCTTTTTATTGAATGTATAACGGTACAATGTTGAGCCAATCAAATGGCCATCCAGCAACACACAGAATGAGAAAAGTCCGGCAGTGGTGAGGATTTTTTGTGCAAACACAAGTTTTAAACTGGTCACAAACATCGAAATGTTTGCTATCAATGAACTCAAAAGAACTAATCCCTATGGGACATATCACGAGAGCTAATAAAAAGGTCAGATATCTGACAGATACAAAGAAAGCCATATTTTTCAATGTCGGAAGATCGATTTTGAGAAGCAATAGATTAAATGGAAAACAACAATGAACATTAAGTTTTTCAAGTCTGCAAGTCTGAAATGTAACGGAGGTCCTTTTATTACGCAATAACCACGACGGAATGCTAGCTAAAACAACTTCGGAGTTTTGCACGCATATGTAGCTTCAGGGCGATGTCAACCTCAAGCGGTAGACCAGAATAATATTTATATTAAAAAGATATTCACACACATTTATGAACTTTTGGCTAAAAGAGGCGAGATGCTGAATGGTTATGAAGTATTTTCGAACAGTACGGGAACGGACGTGTTGAACAAGCTGTTCAGGCTGTCCGGTGCTCTTCGTCGGTCATTACAGAGAAGTTCATTGCAAGTAAAAAGACATTCAACAACTTTATAAGCATAGATTAAAGTACAAATCCTGAGGTATTTAGCAATACAACATCAATACATTAATTTTTTCCACAGGACCTTTCTAATATCAGCAAATCCGAGAGGGCTTTTAAATCATAAAGTTGAGTCCACAATATTTACATTCACAAAAAAATATTGCAAACAATACGCACAGTTTTCGGTATGGATGCTATTGTTTAACAAGCTGCATGAATCTGACGTCTTTCAAAACAAGAACCAGATATTCGTGTGGATCAAAAATGCGATGTGCTTGCGGATGTGCGACTCAAGGTAATCTGCCGTCATGCCTATCCGCTTCTTGTTTTTCTTCATCTGACGGGTCAGCAGAAAAGAGGGGGAATGAGTAATAAAAATATGTCCCTTTAGTATGCGATTCGTGATGGGAACTAATAAACAATTAAATAATCGTGGGACATCATTTGTTCTGCAATCGATCTGTGACAGTGCACTACTGTGACATAGTGTGACCTTGGGATTCATCTGACCGAATTTGAAACGTTGAACACTAGATAGTGAGAGCTTCATCATTAATTCAACAAAAGGGTCCCGGGAGGTGAAAGCACGGTCTGCATTCAAAGGCTCCGCCATGATCACACATTGGAAGTGAAAAAATGTGGATAAATGATCCAGTTAAAAAGGCATACGAATAAAAATAAAAGCTCCAACATAACATTTGAATTTGGTGAACTTTCCAGGGAAGAACAATATACATTATCCGAATAATGAAGCCAAAATCATCAGTCAGGATTTAGTAGACTGGAGTGATTTATGCGCTTCTCGCTCACAATTGGAGTAAAACTTAAAAAATAGACATTTAAGCATTTCAGACTGCAAAATAACAATAATAAAATTTAATACGTATCATTTTAGCGAATCAACCTACCTTTAACCGACCGATTACACGCTTTTATAAAGGAGCACTTTGTTCAACTAAACATTTTAAAGAACACATGGAAATTAAGCAATAGAGCATTGAATTGAGCTTTTTTCGATCTCACGAACTGGGTTTCAATATGGGAGGGAAATTCGATATTTTATGGCGGAGGGAAATTTTGACGAGCTACGCACCGGGACGCTTTGAGTCCGATAGTCGATGTCTTGACCCTACAGGTGAAATTCAATATGTGACGAGACTGCCGCAAATGAGGTGCTGTAGTTGTGCACATATTTCTGTATGCATAACCGTGTGCTAGCATGCTCACATACACCAACGGTTGATCTCTTTTCTTTGGGAACGAATGACATGCCAATTTCCACGATCATGGTTAGGATTACATTACATCGGAGACAATAGATCACGTCGCCTTGTTCGTTCTCAGGTCACACAATCGTATCAGAGTAATTGAACCAATCATGCAAGCTTTTGAGGATAAAACACGTGCTTTTCTTTCCGAATTTAGATTCAGCACATAAACTAAATTTTGAATATTTTTGATTTGGAGAAGTTCTTATGACTTCAATTAAACTGAGGCTTCTGGATCTGGATATTTTAATTGCAGTTGAATTCATATTTTCTATATTTTTGGGGGTATCTTAGAGATGCATTTACTTAACCTTATCTGTGGCTATCCGAACTGTCATTGTTCAGTCTAAAATCAATCGTNGCCCATGTAATTGGACTTCGTGATGTGGCTAATAAGTGGCACTTAGAACCGTGAAAATTTTGGTTTGACTCGTTACCTACACTATGGCAATGCGGGGTTAGAGCCTAACATCAGGGCACCCGAAACCGTACAGTACTTCCACACAGTTTGTCGTGTTTTGACTGGTTTAGATTGTATGATTATTTGATCAAGTGATTGGGTATTTCGGTGCGGCATGCGTCTGCGGGAAAATGTTCGTTGGAAAGAACAATAAACACGTTTGTACAGCGATAAAAATTTGTTTGACTTTGGAATTTCAATTGAAATTGTTCATGGACTGCCATTAATCTCCCTTCCCTTGCTGGCTCATTAGTGCCATAACCCGAGCTTTATAGAAGAAACAGATATCTGCGATGATACCCGATTTATTCGACCGCCAAATGTGACACATCAAAGTGACACTTTTTCTCAACCACCTTTTCAGCACCGTTTACGGGCATATTTCACAAAATGTGGAAACTTCCAGCTGAAATTCCGGAAATACTATAAATGGGAAAATTTTGAAGTATGCTATCTAGTTGACTTGCGTTTATTTTCTATGAGTATGCGTGAAACATCCAAATAAACAGCATGTATATGATGAAACATATGCAGGTATCTATTACACAATTTGATCTTTGCAGTAGAATGACATCATAAATCAAGTGCGATATAACAGCCGGAGCATGTTGTGGTGAGTAACGTCAAAACTCAATAATGGAATGAATTTAATAAATTTTCACTTGATCACTCCTTTGGAAGGGAAGTTATTGAAATCGTTGATTGAAGTAATGAGCATGGTTGTAAACATTTTCATCAAAATTTTTTTCAATTCGTCAATAACTACGGGAGAAGCCTTGATAATTGCGAGAAATGATTATTTCTGTTTTATTTAAACCAACGTAATGAGCAAAAAATATAACTAAAACTATCATCACAAAACATATGATTTTTGTGTTCTCAACGGTGACGATTGATGAGCTTTGTGAAGTGATCTACGGACATTTGTAACCTACAAATATCGTACTTCTTTCCCTAAATCGTTACATTTAATCACAAAAACGTACGTGTAGTATAAATTCTGAAACAAATGCTCTGCTTCTGAAGTTAAAATAATGTTCCTCGAAATCGATCCAACAGTGTGGTGTTTTACTGTTTTACAGTTCAATTTTAGATAAAATGGTGGAGTATCCGAAATGCAACGTATCTTTTGAAATAAGAGCAATCACTCAAACCCTAATCAGCGTGAATAAACTGTAAACAGAAAGTACCGAGTTTATCACAGTACAGATGGTATAGATAACTAAAATTTGTATTTATAAACCACAAAAATATCAATCACCGTATATCTGAAGAAAATAAGTACAATTTGTGAAGCCGGATTTCAGAAATGTTTCCACGAAAGCCCTGATTTTCCATGCGTTCAACGAAACGTGAATTGCTTATGCAATAACTAAAAAAATTCAACGTTAAGGTTTCGCCAGTTTTCTTTTTATTCAATAAACAGGCAGAAATTCCCACAGAAGTTGATATCCAAACTTGTCAGAATTTAATTCGAAAACCAATTTTTGGACAAACACTGTTGCTTGAAGCTTAGAAAAAAATCCGGAATAACTTGAGACCATCGTCTGATTAGTCTCAAAGGGTATCCCAGAACATTTGTATCAGTCTGAGATGTCGAAGTCTGAAAAAGGGGACGAAAAGAGTATTTGCATCCACAGTCAGTCACCCGAATGCTTCAACTTCAGGATTTTCAATTTTCCCGATAAGCGAAGATAAATTACAAAATATCAGACAAAACGTAGCGTGAGAAACTGAATTTCAAGACATCGGGAATCAGAAGTTAGGCAGTGAGTCTTATGCGTGTTCATTGAGGCGCTTCATTCAAGGTTTGTTGATGAAGAGTTTAGAAAGAAGTTACCCACTGATTTATGTCTAAAAGATAAATATCAGGATTTGATAGAAAAAACAGGTTGTTGTTACTCCTAAGTGTTACGCGAGTGAAATCTAAAACATTCGTTTGATGCCTCTCATTCTTTGGTGTTTAAATGTAGCATAAAATTGATATTTAGGCGGCCATGTTTAACCAAGAATAAATGAAATAAATAACATTTCATTTAACGTTTTGCTTTATTTCCATTGATTTGATTAACCTTTCGTTGTTATTTCTCTTATATATTTGTACAATCATGAAAGAGGAATTCTCACAGATATTCAAATACCTAAAAAGAAGTTGGTGCCGTAGGAATAGGCCAAAATCATTTTAGTTAGCGGTGTTCATCATTCTCTCCGGACACTAATGTGTACAGGTGGCAGCGAACCAGGACGATGGAATACCCTGAAAACAGACACCACCCCAATTAATTGAAATTAAATAGCTTTTCTTGGTAAAACCGCTCGATGAGGTTGATAAAAACGTTGGTAGATAGCAAGGACTGCCCCAAGCCAGATGACAAGCACAACTATGTTGAAACTGATGCTGTGATTCGGCTAAAGTATCGGAAAGGTAAAACAACTAATTAAAAATACCCTAGATTGGATGCATAGTAAGACGAGGAAGTTTGCAATTAAGCGGAATAACCTACTTTGTAGAATCAGAAATCAGGTAGAGTAATTCTCACTGACGAAGCGGAGTTCAAGGTGGGTGATCCGAGGAAAGATTTCGAGGGATTATAATTTATTCAGTTTCTTTGATAGTCTTGACGGATTTGTAATAGTCGGTGAAGAAATACTGGCTGGCGACAAACTCAGTCGACATTTCTGGGTGGCACTTACCCGGTGCAATCATCAGATAAATCTTGTAGTGCTTGCTTTGTTCTCGTCATTCTTAAAAGCCAAGTGGGTACAGCGCTGATTCACATCTGTCGCCGTGAAAAATTATGATAGCTGTTTCGTAAAACCTAAACAACATTGGACACTTAGATTCATAATGAATCCGGTAAGGATCGTTTGGGTTTCCTCGTGCAGAAGCAGGGTGAGTTCGAACTGATTGCTTATGTTGTTAAGGAACTGGAAGATTTTCATCAATGAATGTAAAAACGTTAGAAACCAATCTTTCAGTGAGAAGTAAACATCAAAAGTTTAGTTTTCGACAAAAGTAAAAGCCGGTGGATTAAACAGGTTTTCTTCTCTCTAGATACCCTCCAGATAGCAACCGAAGTAGAGTCGTTTGACTCTATAAATAAGGTCGATTCAATATATCAAAAACTGTACTTTCGACGTCAAAATTACCTTTATTTCTTATGAAGTGGATAGTTTTCAGGCTTTAAAAATGTTGTGTAAAGAAAATTCGGTCAGGTAAATGGAAAATAATGGAATTTCCTATACGCATTTCGTGTACAGTGCAAAAAACAATTGGTCAGAGAAGACTGCCAATTATTTGTATCTTGTCAAACCTAATTTCCTGCATCAGAAAAGTCCATTCAAATATTGGCTCATTAAGAACCCGTAAAATAGTCCCATAGACAATGTATAAAATGGTATTCGCGAGGAAATTTCTTTTCAATATATCGCATCAGACGTTTACATATATAAGGTGATCATAATACAGATGTCTGATTGGCCGATCAATCCAGAATTATGTAAGCAAAGGAACTGGTCCACTGTTGTTGCCCTGGCCTGGACAGCGGATTGATTGTGCATAAAACAGAGCATCAACCCCCACCCCCCCGTCCCTCTTTCCTCGTCTGTAGTATCACCAATTTCTTAAGAACAACAACATCTTGAGAACTAATTATCTTATTTTTGTCTCTCATATCCCTTCCTGATTACATCACTGCTATGCATGCCCTACAGTTTCTACCGTATATTATGTAACCTCATCCCGCTCTCTCGTCATTGCTCACAACCTTCATTTAATCTACTCATCCCTCGAACGTTTGTCCATTTGACCTTTGTGTTCTCACCCCCATCCAAGACTATCATTAGCTTTGTCATATTCGTTTGATCTGTTTGCTCGCCCCTTTCATCGTTACTAAATGAGCTCTAATCGGGCAATCATCAAGAAACGTTTAAGTGGAAGGCGTATTCCCGAACTGTTATCCTAACGAGACCATGGATTCAGATTTTTTGCTGATATCTATTACCTATTTCATTCAAGTTTTGTAATTATGCAGCATTTGAGAAAATATCAGTGCATTGAAGTACTACTCACACTTTCTGAATGGTATTTGTTTGAGTGCACTTAAAACAGAGCTTCTTTTTCTTCTGAGCATCATTGGATTCCATGCCCAGTTGTAAAATGCATAAACAAGCAGTTGAACTGTTTCACCACGAATCCGGAGTCTACCTTCAGAACACAAAATATCCTCTCTCCCGTTGAAATTACGTTTCTGCTTCTGTGTTATGCAGTTGCATATCTGGGTAGTTCATTTCTACAGTAAGAATTTCCTGAGTTTTGCACTGTACTTGTTGAATTATAACATGGATTAGAGTCACGCAGATATTTGAATTTTTATTTAACAGTGTTTTGTGTTCCCCGTACTTTTGTTGTATCTGTTTGAAATTCAACAACTCTCACATACTGAACCGCATCACAGAAACCGTAAACGGAAACGACAAAAACGATAAATCACAAATTGTGAAAAATTTGGAGGAAGAAAAATCTCATCTGGAGGAAGAGATATCACAATTAAGCACACAACTGACCGCATCCCAGAATCTCCTCAAGACGAACAAGGCCGAATATCGAAATGCATTGTTCCGTTTAACTGATCACGTAAAGGTAAGAACAATTTGACGGTTCTTTAGAACAGTGGGTAATTACACAGAAAAATCATTTTATTTCAGTAACGCATCTCAGGAAGTCACGTTCTTGATACAGCGCTATCTGCTAACATGTGGAAATTCGAACGAGGTTAAAGTAAATCAAGGGTTTTAGACATTTTGCTAAAAAGAATCGAATAACATGTCACAAGTGACTCTCTGAATCAAAAAACCTTCATATATCGATGTGCACAAATATAACAACTATTGTTTCAAAATAACCAATATCAATTTCTTTATGAAAACCTGTAAATAGTATACTATTCATTGTCTTTTGTTGAAAAAATTAAACGAAAAGGTGATAAAAGAATATTTTTGTCGATCCTCGGGTGACAAAGCAATATTGTAACTGTGACTTTAGTCACGGCCGGTTGGAATGCGGAGGAGGTTTTGATAGGCTATCCAGTAATGCTTGCAGAGTCTGTGATTATAAATGGACAAAGATTTTAAAATAAATAAATATCGACAATACGATGCCAAGCAATGAATTAGTTTTACAGCTTTTAAACTAGATCAAGCCACGCTGCTTTTGTATATCAAAGTAGGTTTTCTAGATAATTTGTACCATTTCGGAAGCAGTACGAATTCGACCAAACTATTCTAAACTTCGTGCACGAGCTCCAGATTCCCGGATCCATTCCACACCTCACATATTCTAAGAAATATTGCCAATCGATTGAATGACCGAAACACTACATGATCATACAAAATCTCGCATTTGATGTAGCTTGCAGAGAACGATATGTCATAGAAGCTTCCGTTCACATCGAAACCATCTTTTGTTTGACAAATGATAAAAGTACATTGCAACCAACCGGCACGATTACGAATGGATTAAAACCGTCAGCTTCTGCTACATTCTGTTTCAATTTGAATGTATTCTTGATATACGTTATTCAGAACAACTACATGCATTACTTTTTGTGGTGTCGATCCAGAACATGAGTGATCTCACGTCTTCTCGGTAGGAAATTATTTAATTTAAGGTTCCATTGTTTGTCTGATATTTTGTAATTCAGTGATTTCTTGGAATATACGAACATTAATTTATTCACGAAAGCGATCTGAACCCAAGGATTTTCTACAATCCTTTTGACAAATTTGCATCACTATTCTTCGGATTATAATGCGCAATTGTTTATGCAAAATATTCAACCCTGATTTTGTACGAAATTTATGAAAAACCTTCCCTGATGACCTAGATACAAGTATATCAGTGATTTTACGAGCCAGAAGAAGCTTACCTAGAAATTAGACTACGCAATCTGGTTCACCTTTTTGAGTGGTGATAAAAGAACCTCTTCAAATGAGGATTAGACAATCCATTAGGTTCTGTGGACGCTGAACAATGATAACCTACGGGGTTGGAGAGGATGCATATCGCAGAAAAGCCTAAAGTCACAGAGGCTACTCACGGCCAGAAATATTTAACCTCCTCTTTTGGATGTGGTGACTACTGTCGTATTTGTTTGTTTGCAGTGCCTTTTACATCTTCGGATTCAAAGCAAATGAAAAATATGGGACAAGCAGTTTGAATTATTTTTGGTGTTAAATAGGCGCATTATTAAGATAGAAACGGTGCATAATAGTCTTCTAAATATGCCTTTCAGATCTGTAACATTAGATAAATATAATGTTTACGGATAACAGAATGAAGTTCTTTAGGAATGAACATTGGATGTTTAGAGAGTTGAATTATTTGAGGAAATTGTAATCCAACATGATTTTTAACTCCAATAAACCACTTTACTAAAAGATAAGAGTGAAAAATGAATTACACATCACATACGGAAGGTTTGATCGACAAAATGAAAGGTACTGGATTCGTTTATCTTTGATAAACCTAATTTCGGGGCCAAATATTTCCCACAGGATATCCGAACAGTGCATGCAAGGATCAGAGACGACTTTGTGAAAGAAGCAAACACTCATCGCCATGAATTGCGACAAATGCAACGAAAAACGCGCGAAGTCGTCCGAAAAATGAAATTTTACATCAAAGAACGGAGCATTCAGATGGAGCAAGCACTAACTGAAGCCACAGAGGAACCGCATAGTGAACAAAAGCCTGTGAGCAGCATTCTTCATAAATACACAAGTTCCTCTCAAAGTGCGACTGTGAATCCATTTGCAACCTGTTTTTATTTTCAATGGTTTCGAGAATGTGTAGATAAGAATGAACGTGAAGCCAGAAACACAGAAAAAAAATAAGTAACCCCTGTTAAACAACCTAGGTATACACAAGAATAACTGCTCGTAACTGCTGGCGAAAAATTCCGCCGCGATTTATTATTCAAATATTCCTTCAAGTATAGTATCTATGTCACACATTCTGGCTAAATTGGTTTCACTTTCGAATGTACCTCTAACAGAAAACTTATTTCATTCACAACGTATCACTTCAGTGAAAAACAATTCTTCGGTATTTTCAAGGTTGTCTGAATTGCTTGTCAATCATAAAACCTCCGTTTTATGGTTTTGTAAGAATAACAAGCAACAAAGCATACCCCAGTTTACCTACAACAATTTAGCGAATTTAGTGATTACTACGAAATGAGAAAATCCAAAACAAGATTACACGTGGAAAAATCTGAATGCGTAATGCATCAAATTTGATGTATAAAAAAGACCCGACCGAAAACGAGATTCACACACGGAATATGCTACTCTCAGCAAGATACAACCGAAGAGTAATAAAGATGGAGAAAACAAGGTGATTTTTTATGAAAAAAGGACGCAGGCCATACGTTCAATTTTGGCTGTACCCTTGTAGTATAAGAAACGAAGTTCTGAGTTGATCTAAGTTTGAGCTGATCAGATGAGCAGTTTCTTTCACGGTTGACTACAAACAACTGAGCTCGTGGGATTGATTTCATAAATCGAACGCTGAATACCAAATTTCCGGAATTTCACTTATTTTGGATTTCATTCTTTTCACATTGGTTTAGAAAAAGTCCACTCCGTCCGATTTTATCCACATGCAAGAAGTTGAACGCCTAAAACGTTTGGTGAAAAAATTGACTGCAGAATACCAAGCGGAAAAAGTTGAGCTTGTAAATCAGGTGCGTACGATTACATCATTAATTTTGTTCATTTCGATGCACATCGATAGAGACGATGTTTTTTGAATTATAGCACAATCAATCATTTCATGAGGTGGAGAGAATTTTGTTAGCTTAGAAAACGTTGAAGAAGAGAGTGAAAAGGTTGAGTATTCTGTATTTGTATTATGAAAGTATGATTGACGTTAGTGATATTTATTTATTTATATAGTAAATTATATGCAGACGACACCAAAATCTCTGTGACAAGTCATTTTTGAATTCACCAATGACCAAAATTATAAATCTAATTTTTAAAAGATTTTCTGTATTGTTTTTAACTACATCTTAGATGTATGGTATAAGAAAAACAAAATATTCAATATGCTGACATAACCCATTTTCTGTGGATGGAGAACCAGCAATGATGTGGCATCAAAGATTTGTGTACCACCGATTTATTCTAGAATATATATGAAAACTGAGCTTTTTGGTGATGTAAAATCGCTGAGATGTAGGTTGTATCAGAAAGTGCGTGAGGTTTTAACCCAGCAGCCCGTGGAAACAACACTTAGTAGAGAGTTGTTTCTTGTACTGTATATCCTAATTGCTAATGACCAGGCCTGAACGTTTTTCTAAGCCATCCGTATAGCCACTATTCTTGTTCCCAGATAAAATATTTTAATCAAAGTATATGGAAGATTGTACTGATGTAGCATTTGTTACTATTTATAATCGATTTCAACTTTATGAATAATGCATTGTTTCGAAGTCGCCATATATATATATATATATATATATATATATGTAAACCATAAATTTATGTGATAAACAACAGACGTGATGGACCCTATAGTTGCGAAGACCTGCCCTTCAGTGGTGGAAAACGGTAACCTAAGCTCTGAGACTTCGAGTGGTGAACCGCATAAAGCTTGATGTTGAACCGGATGACAACAACTCTGTCTAACACCAAAGTTGGGTTTCAGTGGCAACGTTTAAATCTCGGACAATAGGTTTCGAATCACGCCAGTGATAGCAAATAAACCACTCCATTCTTACAACGCAATGGGTAAGAGAGCCAAACAAAATGTTCCGGATGCGCGAATAGTTTTATTTATCCAACAAAAATAAGCGTTACGTTTTCTCGAGGTATTCCACAGCAGCGTATGTGCACATGCG